AGATGAGGTCTCACTAAGTTGCCCAGGCGGGTCTTGAACCCGCGGGCTCAGGCAATCCACTCACCTCAGCCACCCAAGGCGTGGGATCACAGGCTGAGTCACCAAGCCCGGCTGAGACTTTGACTTTAAAACAAAAGGAAAGAAGCCTAAAATCGTGCTTTGTATGAAGTACTCGGGAAATGTTAGCTGCTGTCATCACTACTGTTATTATCATTTCAACTATTACTTTTTAAATTTTTTTTATTTTGAAGATGGGGCTATAATTCGGGTTTAGGTATACAGATGTTCGTTTTGCAAGTACCCTTGTTGATGAGGTAAGCCCCACCCACCACCGCAGTTTCCCACTACTGCCAATCCCTTTCTTATAGGATTATAGCATTATGATAATTGTTCAAGGTCCACTGATGAGTGAGAATACTCAGTTCTTTGTTTCTGTGATAGATCACTCAGTATTATAGACTCTGAGTCCATCCAGGTTGCTGCAAAGTTCATAATTTTGTCCTTCGTTATGACTGCATAAGATTCCGTTGTGGATATGTACCACATTTTTAAAATCCAGTCCTCATTCAATGGGCAGTACGGTTGGTTCCATGTTTTTGTTATTGTAAATAATACTGCAGTAAACATGGGTGTGTATGTATTCTTTTCATAGAGTGATTTGAAATCCTCCTGGTATATTCATCCACAAGACCACAAACGTAATTAAATACATCAACAGATGTAAAAACAAAAGCCACATGATTATATTATTAGGGGTGGAAAAAGCTTTTGATAAAATTCAGCACCCCTTCTTGGTTAAAAAACCTTGAACATCTAGGCATAGATGGAACATGCCTCAAACCAGTTAGAGCCATCTATGAGAAACCCATAGCCAATATACTGCTAAAGAGACAGAAATTGAAACCATTTCCCCTGAAAACCGGAACAAGATAAGGAGGCCCGCTCTCACCCTTCCTGTATTGGAAGTCCTAATCAGAGCAATCAGACAAAAGATGGAGATGGGGGTTATTCAAAAAGGAAAAGAGGAATTCAAGTTATCCCTCTTTGCGGATGACAAGATTTTGTACCTTGGAAACCCAAGAGAATCTGTCAAAAACTTCCTTGCACTGATAAAGGACTTTAGCAAAGTCTCAGGGTATAAAATAAATGTGCAAAAGACAGTCGCATTCCTATACACCAACAATAAACAAACAGAAACCCAAATAAAAAGCACAATCCCATTCACAATAGCCACACAAAAAATGAAACACCTTGGCATCTTCCTAACCAGAGAAGTGAAAGACCTTTACAATGAAAACTACTATTATTATTACACAATAAACTTCAATGTAGGAAAGAGAGAACACTTGCCTCAGGGCCATAAGATTGGAGTGAAGTCTGTACTTCCTAGTTATAGAAGTTACTGGCTGTGTGACCTTGGACAAGGTAGCTTATTTGAGATTTTGTGTCCCATTGTAAAATACAAATGACAATATCTAATTGCAGTGTTGTTTTCATAATTTAAATATACATATGGGGCAGTGCTTGCTGCAGTGTAAAGCACTCACGTGAACTGTTATCATTGTTATTATGTCTCCTAAATCAATCTTTGTTTTGAACCCTCATCACCTAAGGATCTTACAAGTCAGCAAGTCCTAATATTGTTTTCATTAAAGAACAATTTTTGGCCAGATGCTCACACCTGTAAACCCAGCATTTTGAGAGGCAGAGACAGGAGGAACAGAAGTTTGAGAACAGCCTAGACAACATAGTGAGACCCCATCTCTACCAAAAAAAAAAAAAAAGAAGAAGAATAGTTTCCACATTTGAGGAAAGACCTGAAATAAGAGAGTATGCCATGTGGACAACAGGAAAGAGCATGTCTCTGAGACAATAGAAAGAGACACTGCTCCTGGCCCAATCCAGGAGGACAGTGGTTGGAACAGAGGAGGTGAGAGGTAACGGGAAGAGTTGCAGGTTGTTGTAAAACTTTGGCCTTCCTGTAATCCCAGCACTTTTTGGGGCTGAGGCAAGAGGATTGCCTGAGTCCAGGGGTTCGAAGCCAACCTGGGCAACTTGGTGAGACCTCGTGAGGCGGAAGGATCGCCTGAGCCCATCAGGTTGACACTGGGGTGGCCATGGGCAGGATGTGGTAGTGCCCGCCTGTAGTTCTGGCTACTTGGAAGGCCGAGGCAAAAGGATCACCTAAGCCCAGCAGGTTGAGGCTATGGTGGCTGTGAGTGTGCCACTGCACTCCAGCCTGGGCGACAGAGTGAGACTCTGACTCAAAAAACAAACAAACAAAAACTTTGGACTTTATTCACAGAGGAATAAAGAGCAGAAGAGTGACATGAGATTACTCTGGCAGTGGCAAGAGAATGGACTGTGAGGGGTCTGGGACAGAAGTGGGGGGACCAGCAACGAGTTCTCAGGGTTGCTGCCTTGGAGTATGGGGCAGTAGTGCAGGTGGTGAGAAGCATCTGGAATCTGGACATTTTTTAAGGTGGAGATGATGTGACTACGGATTGGATGTGAGGCATGACCCAAGCTACAATGGAATTCCCACTCACTACCATGGTATTGGCTATAAGAACAGTGGCTGGCCAGCATGGGGTGTTGGGAGTTCCGGTTTTGACAAATTTAGTTTGCAATGCTTGTTTCACATCCACATGAAGGTATGGAGTGGGCAGGTGAATGTAAGAGGTAGGAGTTCAGGGAGACTTTTAGCTGGAGGTGTCTGTATGTGAACTGTGTGGAGCCATGATACTGGATGAGATGACCAAGAGAACAGGTATAGCTTGATAGGCATTCTAAGAACCACAGTGTGGGAGGGTAGGGAAATAAACTCCCTATTTGTAGGTACACAGTTTAACACATATTACCCATATCTACCTTATGAACCAGGCCACTTAGGTCTTCTATACCCTGGTCTTTGTCCACCCACTTCATCAGTATGGAACTATCAAGAGTAAAGTCAAGTCTACCAGGTATTTCCCCCCCCCACCACCACCACCACCATTCCTCTCTGCCTCCCATGCTTGCCTCATTGTCTTGTCATCTCTTTTTTTTTTTTTGAGTCCGAGTCTCACTTTGTCACCCAAGCTGGAGTGCAGTGGCATGATCATGGCTACCACAGCCTCGACCTGCTGGGCTCTGGCAACCCTTCCACCTCAGCCTTCCAAGTAGCTGGGACTACAGGCACACCAGCACACCCAACTACATTTTTTTGATTTATTGTAGAGACAAGGTCTCACCAAGTTGCCCAGGCTGGTCTCAAATGCCTTGACTCAGGCAATCCTCTTGCCTCAGCCTCTCAAAGTGCTGGGATTACAGGCTTACTCCACCACACCTGGCTTTCTTCTCTCTGTCTTTACACCTCTGTTTCATGGGCTTTCTTCAGGGAAGGCATCCCTCATTAAACTCTTTGTACTGCCTCAGTATTTTTTTCTGCTCCATAGGATATTTCTCTGGTCAATATTACTCATCTTTTGGTCAGTTTGACTGCTTCTATTACATTTTTTGTCTCATATTCTCTTTGTGCTGAGACCATGCCATTTTCTTTTTTATCTGCTGTCATTGAATTCATTACACTTCCCAGAACAAGCTGTCTGAAGGAGGTTTGGCCAGGAGGGAGTGTGAAAGGAGTGACCAGGGAGCCGTCCAAGGTTCATAACTATCCAATTCCAGTCACCTCTTTCCATATGAAGTCACTACAACCTAAACTGCCCCTGCCAACACCCTCTTCATCCTACACATCTCCCCGCTACCCCTACCCCCAGAAGCCTGCCTGAGAATCCCCGGACCCAAAGCAAGAGTGCTCACACCACGCCCAGAGATGTTTTGAAAAAGTCCTTGTGGAGACTTACTCTTGACCTTGAGAGTAAAAGATTTCCAGCAAGAAAGCTCAAAGAGAGCTTAACTTCTGGCAGCAGGAGAGGGAAGGAGTGGGTCAGCTACAAGATCTTACAGTCTTGCCTTTGCCGAGGGGGCTCAGCCTCAGATGACCTAGAAGAACGTACACCTGTGTTACCTGGTCTTGGAGACTTTGCCCAGGCCCAGCTTCCTAACACCCACTGGGTCCATTTTACCTTTCACCTTGACTCTTGCTAACA